TTCTTTTACAAACCGTACGTATTATCATGATTTCTACATGTCTGTCCTAATTTGCGTTTTTGTACCATACCGTACTATTTTACTACATGCTCTGAAATAAGTATCTATTGTTTGGTGAATCGTACTGTCAGTGAATTCGTACTGTCGGTGATTCGTACTGTCGGTGAATTGATTGTTGGTGAAATGATATATACCGCCTTTTTTAATACTTTAAAGCAAATAGAAAGCGATACTATAGTGTCAGAAGAAATATAAATTTAGGTAAATAGGATTCATTTGGATGCTTGTAATATTACCTTTGTGGATCCATATCATTTCTTCGACATTTTTTCTTCAACAGAAATCAAGTGTGTGATTAATATTTAAAGTCGATTCCTAATCTTCATCAGACTTTAAATATTAATTATCACCCTACGTGATGTTAGTGAAGAAAAAATGTCGGGGAAATAATATGGACCCCTAAATCTACATTATTTGAATTTACGCCACCTGAATCTACACCACCAGAATCTATATTACAAATTTATACACCAGAATTTACGCTAGACTTTTCGTCTCATTAGATTTAATTCAGCCTTTTTTTTATTGCAAAAAGATGCAAGATTTCAAGTCTGTTATTATTGTTATAAAATGAATAGCAAAATTAATGTCGCAGCTGATGCTAAAAACGACTAATGTAGAAATTTGGGGTCTTGATTTGAAAATATAAACCTTGCTAAAATTCACATATTATCAATTCTAACCCTAAACCCTAAAAAAGGCGGACAAAAAGGAAAAAATACCGTTTCTGATGGATCATCGGTACTGTTCCTGATAGGGTTCTAAAAAAGAGGTCACCAAAATACTATACTACTATAATAAAAAAAGTTAGGATGAGGGTTCGTTTTTAGAACCCTATCAGGAACAGCACTCAAATAATTTTTTTAACTCCATCAAGATCGGTATTGCTGATTCACAAAAAGACTCCAAAAATTTTTTAAATTTTCATATCAAAATAGGTTCGAATTTCAACATCAGTCGTTTTTAGCATCAGCTGCGACAATTAATATTATATATACAAATATAGATATACGTATAATTTATACGTAATTACATACGACAATAATTATCGTTATATTGTAATTTTGCGATATCATGACATTTTTATAATTTACAACACTTCTTTTTTAATATAAATTTGACGATGAGTTGCGCTATATTAAGTTGTAATTCATATTTGCAGCAGGCATCTCTAATACGTATACACTAGAGATGCAGGCGAAATACCGTAACTTGCCGTAATAAAATAACAGATAACGTTAACTGATAACAAAGTTACGCCGTAATTCACATATGAAGACATTCATATGATTGGTTGATTTTGTAGATCTACCCGTGATTTCCCGTGATAATGAACCAATCAAATTACATAATTTTAATAGATTTATAATACTATTTGAAAACGAAAAACTCCATAGAAAGAAGCTTACGAACTCAAGAGAATTTATCACATATATTTAGAGATTAGCGTAAAGTGGGGTAAATGTGATATTTATTACTAATAACCTTAACTCATTAAAGAATCTGCATGATATAAACTATAATTTACGATTGCCAAGCACAAGTACACTACAAAATTAAACCCGGGTATTCTATTACTAAGAAGCCTAAACATATTCAAATTAAACGTTAGCAATAAAAACTTATTTAAATCTAACGTAATAAAGTAGTTTTGGACGAAAACATTCCAGTTACCTTCACTCCACAATGTAATTTCACGCCGTCCAATAGGCGTTGTATATATTTTGTTCTTTAAGCAAGGTATGTGAGGAGTGAGATGATTTAGAAATTACTTTGTATGGTAAATACTGACGTTACTTCGAAGTTAGAAATGGCCTTTGCGGTGATTTTTATTGGTGAAACGTTACGTCTCGAAAGTACTTTAAAGTGTATAAATAAGTTACCCAGGCAATTGATTTACATCAGCCAATCAAATGAAAGTCCTTCTATGACCGTAACTCACTATAGTTATTACATATCTGATATTACAGAGATAGTTACGGCAAGTTACGGAAGTTTCATCTGCACCTCTAATTTGAATCTATATTATCTATATTACAAATTATGCGCCAGAATATACACTGCCCGAATTTATGCCATCTGAATATACCAGCTTCTACTCAATGATATGATGTTCGGGATCGTCCAGTTATGGATTATAATTGCGGTAATCCAAAGAAACGTAAAATAAAGTGATCACGTCTTCGAGGTTGTGTGAATAAAAAAATTATATAGTTAATATGGTTTAGGTTAATACGTTTTTATATTTATAGTCACTGCCCTTATCTGTTCGTTCATCAACGTCATATCACCTAGTGAACTCTAACTTATACGAAGAAGTAGAAGAAAGAAACGATGCAATGGACTTTGTCCAACCCATTGCAAAAAAAGTGATTAAAAAACAATTTTTCGAAATCAATGAAGTCGGCAATGAATTGTCAAGTATTTCATAAAATTATCTGAATTATATATGTACGAAAGTAATAACCAAGATCTGAAACCTAAAACTTAATTCTTGTTTAATCAATTTTTAATTTAATAAAACGGAAAAAAACTTGATGATTTATCTTTTATCAGATTTGATAATCAACTTTGACAGGATCGGTTTTAGGAGATTCAACTGTATTTCATTTAAAGGATGTATCAAAAAAACTTTCAAATTGCTTCAACTGTATAATTTGTAAATATGCAAACAACAATACTTCAGTTGCGGTATTTAAATTTCAACTTAACTTTGTTATAATCGTGTTTAAAAACAGATTTATGCTAAAATAATTGAAAAAAAAGCAAAGCGATTTGCTCTAGACATCTAAAAACATGCAATTCATTCTTACCCGGTACTATTAAAAAAATATATATATAATAAAGAATCTGCTCACCAGAGCACAAAACCTATTGTAAAATGCCAGAGATTTCCGTCTACGTAAGACAATTTCCGCCTCGATTTTTCAACAGACATTTATAATAATGATTTCAGATTATGGTTTCTAATTTCCGGTTAGAAAAAAACACTTTCGGGAAAAAAATCACATTACATCACTTGGAAATTTTGTGCACCGCTGCTCACTGTCTTAATCACTATAGTGATTATACATGTCACAAAACCTATTTCAGCATTGAGTTACCACAGCAGTTTCATATTAAAAATCGATGCTGAAATAGTTTTTGCGACATGTATAATTGTAATCACTAAATTCGAAAAGAAATTTTCAATAATATTCATATGGTACTACGTATGATTTACATAGTTGACGAATATTGCGCGATTTATTGCGCGATTTGGAGTAGAAATATAGATCCGTTACCACGCTTCAGAAAACAAATATTGGATTTCTGTATGATAAAATTATCAATCTTATAAATACTAAAATATTTATAGTACGTATCGGTATTTTACGTTTCCTTCCGATTGTTTGGGATACCAACTAATTAATCATCACAAGCAATAATTGTAGATACTAAATAATTTTTTTGACGGTTAAACCCGATAACATGTTATTTTAATAACTGGATTATGAGCATGGCTTAAACCAATATATCGATATTAGCTTGCCGGCCATTCACCGTGTCGCTTTAAAAATCAATAGTATATTGATAATCATGCACCAAGATTATGAGCATGGCTTAAACCAATATATTGATATTGGCTTGCCGGCCATTCACCGTGTCGTTTTTGATATAATAATAGCACCAAGAACGGCTTTTTGAATTATCTAGGGTTCTTGGCACGATAAAAAAAATTCGGCATGCTAAATTTCATGCCAAATGCATAACGATAATATTCAGTATCATATCTTATATATATATATGTATATCTTATATATATATATGTATATATATATAATATATATATATATCTATATTATTATACGTAATAATTAATGGCATGCCATAAGCGGGCATGCCAAGGACGAACCCTACTTTGAATGGCCAGAAAACAATATGGTGGTTTAAGCCCTGGTTATGAGACAGGTTTGTGGAATGATTTACATACCATGACACATACACAACGGATTATCATTTTTGACAGAAAGGGTCAAGATATTATATCGAGATATAACGATAATATCAGATATATCGATATAAAGTCAAAATCAGATTAAAAAAAAAAAAACATTCGTGTTAAAAAAAAAAGTGGGGTGACTTAACGTTAAGCATTGGGCAAACAATGTGATTATTAACTATAGATTTAAATGCATTGTATATCTAAACATTAATACTTTAATAGTTAAACCAAATGAAAGAATTCATTATAGTAACTTATTTGTCTTTAATTGAATAATTTTAGTCAGAAATGAAAGTTTAGATTATTTTTAATACCTGCAAGTTTAAACTATAAACATATATATGTACGCAGATAATCAAATGATAATTCTCTTTTGTTTTTCCGCAGAAAAATGCTTGATGTTGATCAATAAAATAATTGGTATTTCATCGTAGGAAGTCTTAAAAGTCAATGCATCAATTGTATCAAACATGTACAAGTAAAGATTATTTATATTGGCGGAGTGTAACAAAAATATTAAACAGATTTTTATAATAATCCAAAAAAAGATACAAATGATCTATAAATGAGATTTGATTTGTGTGCATATCAATAGATAAATAGATATCAACTATTCAATCAGCATCTTGTGTGAGTCGACCACAGAACTTTGCCGATTAACCTTCTAAAGCTATTTATTCCTTTCCCGCTTTCTTAATATGTTTAGCATGGATCTCCGAGCTTTATCTTTTACCATGATAAATTATTTGGTTATTTTGTGTGATTCTGAGTATTTTGTGTCCCTGCATTATTCCAGAGCCTTGTTTACTCAAAAAAACTATATATCCGGCGATTTATAATACCTATAAATTATTCTCACTTTTTCTCATTAAAGTCTACTTTTTTATTTTTTATTTTTTTATTTTTTATTTTTATTTTTATTTTTTATTGTATATTTTTTATTCCACAAAATAATATGGAACGAAACGAAGAAGAGCTACCTGTAGCTACGAGTACTTCTCCTCGTAACAGATCTTACAACTCGGGTCGCTCTGTAAATAATATGTTGCTAGGTTTTTCTATGACAAAAAGTCCAAACGTTGGTTTTGGCCCTCGTTCTCATTTCAGCTCTCAAAGTAATTTAGATAATGGTATGTATTTTCTTTCATAAAATGTCTATGTGATCTCTCCCTTTACTACACCACACGCGACAAATTTCTCTGTCACAAGTAACTTTGCATTAATTGACAAATTATGATAAGTTGATTTATCTGATCGGGTAATTTAAATCTTACGTATCACAAGATCATCAGAATTAATCATCGTGATATTTCATGTGACTAAATTATTCTATTTAGATTTATTAATCCTATTAATTTGTTTTATTCTCATTATTCTATTGCTTACGACATTAGGTCAACCGTCATATTCTGCTTCTCCTGGAAAGATCCGTAATCAAACAATTGCTCTTGGTGATGTCGATAGAAGAAAGGATTCTCCTCCCGGTGAATTATCCGCTGCTGGCCAAAGCAATTTATCTTTGCTTCTTCAAAAAACTCCTTCTCCACCTAAAGAAACATCTCATAAAACTACTACTGCTGATGGCGCCCAAGATTCAATTCCTCCAACAATAAACGTTGTATCTAATGATTCTCCAAATTCTGAGTACTTTGATCCTAGAAATGAATCAAGACCATTGCTTGAAACTTTTCCTCACAATTACGGAAATTGGTTACCTTCTGATGATCCATTATCTATGGAAGATCGTTCTTTCGTTGAAAAAGTTTACGATTGGTTACCTTGCACTGGTGATAACCGATATGAACGACGAAGACCAAGTTTTAGATGTACCCCTGAAAATATTTTCCGCCAGGTAATTCTTAATCCCATCTCCTACATACCTGCCGTTATTCTGGGACTTTTGTTGAACCTGTTAGATGCTATATCTTATGGTAATAATTTACTCATTAATTAATTCAAAATTATTCAAATAATATAAATATTATAAAATATTTATATGTTGTTATGATTATTCTTTAATTAGGCTTGATCACTTTCCCAATAAGTAACCCAATATTTAGTAGTTTTGGGCCGGATGGAATTTCAATGTTTTTTGTCAGGTATATTAATACTAATATTTTTTATTAGGGAAATTCTATTTTTGACCCGGGTCAAAATATCCCTCAACAAAATTTTAGGGTTAGTGCGGGCGAGATGCCGGCCAGTGTTTTTTTAATATAAAAACCCGGCCGGCATAACATAATTCTGGCCCGCATTAACCCTAAATTCTAGGAGGGGTAGAATTTTCCTTTTTATTATTACAAGTATCCTTCAATTCTTTTATTAAAATTGGTTCATTTGTAGTTGCATCGTATCCCAGGTAGTGTATTCTGGGGGTGGAAGTATTTTTGGAGGTGGTAATGGCAGCATGATGATTGAAGGTTTATATATATATATATTTACATAAATATATATGTTCTTTTTTGTTTTTATTTTAGAGATTCATTTGCCTAATATTGTGCTATTTTTTTTTATATACTAGTCGTACCCTTCTTGCATATAATGTAAGATCTACAACAGTGAATTTTAATAGCTTTGAATCTGATTGTATTGGAAATGAATTCAATTCTATATTTGTTTTTAAACAGGGCTGAAATTATTACAACAGTTGTCCAAAACGGAGGTTATAATAAAGATGATGAAACCAAGTTCATCATTGCTACTACAATGCTCTCTTTTGCGCTAAGTTCTATTTTGACCGGGGCCGTGTTTTGGATAATGGGTGCTTTAAAAGTAGGTATTTAATCAATAATTGCGTTTTACAGTGTTCATAATAAATAATAACAATTAGTCTTTTCTTTCAAAATATAGCTTGGTTCTTTGATTGAATTTTTTCCTAGGCACATTTTAGTTGGTTGCATTGGTATATATTATTTAAGAAAAATTCATCACTTCATTATTACTTGATGATTGATTATTTTATTATATTAGGTGGTGTTGGATGGTTTCTTTTTGCAACTGGTATTGAGGTCTCCGTGCGTCTTGATAAAAATTTAGAGTTTTCCACTGATACGCTTTACGAACTTTTCCTCCATGGTCATAACTTTGCCTTATGGGGTTCAGCGTTAGGCTTGGCTATACTTTTGAGGATTCTTCAATCCAAAATTCATCATTGCCTTGTTGTTCCAATTTATTTTATGATTGTTCCTGTTTTATTCTATATCATTATTTTCATATGCAATTTCTCATGGGAAGTTTTAAGAGAGGAAAAATGGGTTTTTGAATTACCTGACAGTGATGCCCCCTGGTATAATTATATTACCCGGTTTGGTTAGTATTTATTTTTCTGTTTAATAATAACAATAATAATTATTATTATTATTTTAAATATACTTTTAACTGTATAAATTCGTTTTTTTAAAAATTAGATTTTACCAAGGTAGACCCTGGTGCATTAATTCAAACGATTCCCGCAATGTTTGCTCTTACATTTTTTGGTATTTTGAAATTTAATCAAATTTTTAATTTATTCATTAATATTTTAAATTTATAATATTTTTAATTAATTTAAGTTTTGATTTTACCTTTGTAGGAATTTTACATGTACCAATAAATGTTCCAGCTTTGGGTGTATCACTTAATGAAGATAATGTGGATACCAACCGTGAATTGGTTGCTCATGGTATATCAAACATTGCATCCGGATTATGTGGCAGTGTTCAAAGTAAGAAATTTACTATTATCGTTATTTATTTATTTATTTATTTATTCATTTTTATTCAATACTAACTTATATGTTTTATCTCTTCTAAAATATTAATACATTTAATATTCAGATTATTTGGTGTATACTAATTCTGTATTATTCATTAAATCTGGTGGTGATAGTCGCGTTGCCGGGTTAATGCTTGCTGCTGGAACTGCGGTTATTCTTTTTGTTGGCCCCTGGATTGTTGGTTACATCCCAGTAATGGTAGTTGGTGCTCTTATTTTTCACCTTGGATTAGACTTATTAAAAGAGGCTTTGGTCGATACTTGGGGAATTGTCAATCGCATGGAATATTTTACTATTGTTGCCATTGTTGTTGCTATGGGTTCTCTTGGTTTTATTGAAGGAATTTTCTTAGGAATTATAATGGCATGCATATTTTTTGTGGTTTCAAACTCTCGCAAGAGTGCGATACGTGCTACCTTTTCAGGAAGTTCGATTTCATCTACTGTTAGGCGTCGTTATCGTCAACAAAAGTTTCTTAAATATGTTGGTAATCAAATTTATGCAATCAAACTCCAAGGTTATTTGTTTTTCGGAACAATTAGTGGTGTAGAAAAAGAAATTCGAAGAATATTAACTTATAGTGAATGGAGAAGAAATCCAATTCGTTTTCTGATTCTGGACTTTAATCTCGTTAGTGGTTTGGATTTCAGTGCTGCAGAAGCATTTTTCAGAATTCAAAGGCTTTTACAAGTTAAAAAAGTTTATCTAGTATTTTGCGGTGCATCTTATAATTCTGAAGTGGGAAAGGCTCTTAGAGCTATTGGTTTGTGGAGAGATGAACCACATAATTCTGATAATTCTTTACTTATTTATGAAAACTTTAATGAGTCACTTGAACATTGTGAGAATATGTTACTACAAGCATACTATGAAAGTGTATCCTCATTAATTACAAATCAGGATGGTAAATAACCTTTTTTTTTTCTAATCGATTTTTTTTGTACAATATATTTTAAAGTAGTCGTAACTAATATTTTATATATAGCCTATAGTAGTGCAATGCAACCCATACAGAATAGACCATCTGGTGATATTTCGGACATATCCTCTCCACGTGGTGCTCTGATTAAAAGAATGGGAGGAAGCTTATTACTGCCTGGTACAAAACATTATTCTGTTTAAATTTTGATTTCAGCGAAAAAAAAAATTTTAACTCATTTTTTTTAAATGTTATCTTTATTGATGTATTGAATTATATTTAAATACAGCTAACCCTAATCCTAATACTAAACGCCCTAGTAAACCTACAAGCGTTCTCATGGATGCATTCCAAGATATGACGGACATGAAAGATGAATATTTAGACAAATTTTTCAGTCGTATTGCACCATACTTTCACGAAGAAGATGTCCCTGCTGGGGCGACACTTTGGTCTCAAGGAGATAAACCGGATTGTCTTTACCTTGTTGAAAGTGGTTTACTTCGTGCTACGTGGCGTGCAACAGAAGGTGATCCTTCTCGACCTGTTGAAACCATCTTACCAGGTACTATGGCCGGTGAAATAGGTTTCTTTACAGAAAGGAAAAGAGATGCTACTTTGGTTGCAGAAAGTCATTGTATCTTATGGAAGATGAAAAAATCAGACTTTGATGATTTACTTGAAAAAGATCCGGACGCTGCAAGTCATTTTATGAGATTGACCCTAAACTTCCCCGCCGAAAGATTAATTGCAATGACTTATTATGCTTTTCATCTATCACAGTAAAAAAAACTATTCAAACTTTACATTTCATTGGAATCGGTATTTCTATAATAATTCATTAAAATATTAAAAAAAACAATCTAGGAGTTATTCCAATTTATAGAAAAAAAAAAAATCCCAAAAAATTATAACGTTAATAGAAGAATTGTAATGGGTTAAAAAGTTTTACTTAAAAAAAAAAATCTTAGATAGTTATAATAAATATTTGTGTCTTATCTATCATTCTACTATTGTGGTGTATAGGAGGAAAACAACCCTTTTTTAAATTCGGTCTTATTAATATAATTATTAATACATACGTTCGTACTTATGGTCGTATATACGACTATACGCATATATGTTAGTAAGTGGGAACAGAATTTTAAGTGGATCTGTAATTTTCTTAATAAAACTAGAATTTTTTAGGATATAATTTATATAACCCTTTAACCTAAAATTTTAAATTCCAAATCCACCTAAATTTCGTTCTTACTCGCAACATTTATATTCGTATTAGTGTTCCGCAAAGTCCAGATCCGGGCGGATTTTAATTGGACCCGTACCCGAACCGAAATACAAAAGTCGGGTCTA